CTTGCGTAGAGTGCGAGACACAGGTCGGCAGCAAACTCGTGGACTTGTACTTGGATGGTGTCCAGAGCTCACGAGGTATTTCGATTCGCTTCCAGAGAGGAACTTGGTAACTTGGATGTCGCTACTGGCAGGATATAGTCACGCCGGGAGAGGTTTTCCATCTCTTCGGTGGGATGATGGACGACCTGGCGGACAGTGTGACGATGCTTGTAGCCATGCCGGGCTCGTGGAGAGGGGCCGTGAGCTTCTGAAGCCGATGAGCTCCAGGTATGGAACGAGTCCTGGAGTGGAGCAAAACGAATGCATGGCCGATTTGCTGGACGCTGCGAGAGAGAAGGCGTCAACATTAACAACCTGTAATCAGAACAAAGGCCTATTAGCTCAGTGGGTCATAGCGTGGTGCTAAAAACCGCAAGTTGGAAACCTGCATGGGCCAAAACAAAAGTATAGAACACAGGTTCGAGACCTGCATGCCAAAACACGTTTGATTTATCTTATTGACTTCTTGGAATTTGAATAGAAATCATCTTATTGTGCAAAATTTACTTGGTCTTCTTTTGTAACCCTAAATATCAGTTAAGGCTTATTTTCTTGTTTTCTTACTAAATGGACATAGCATGTACGAGGTATCCATCTTTCACGGATGGCGTTGGCCAGTAGTTTGTTTTACTGTTTGGATTGACAGGCTCCCATCTTCAATCAAAGATTACAATTTGTTGACAAGAAAAGAGGAGCAAAAGAATTTACCTGTATTTTGTGATAAGCCTGTGCATGAAAATCATTTGCTCTAACTGACTTAATGCTCTTCCTGGGCATATTCTATCTCCATAGCCAAATGGAATAAATGTGCCAGTTTTAGCTGGAACCTAAAATAAAAGGTTTGGTTTAAGTATAAACATGAAAAATACCATACTTCAAATCTGGATGGATTGAATTTTGCTGCATTGGGGTAAATGCTGTCATCTAAGTGGATTGGTGGCATATAGACATGAATCATCCAATCTTTGGGCAAGGTGTAACCTGTTAACACCAACAAAGTAGACAAACAATTGGAATTAGCTTCAATCATATGTAATAAAACCTTTGTAGCTGATATCCTTGGTGATTTTACGTGTCACCACCCCCGCAACATTAGAAAGCCTCAGACTTTCATGGACAGCCTGCAAAACCACTCCAATTAAATCTAACATAAAATTGGAGCTTAGTCCACAACCCTTAGAGTGGCTGGCATCTGTTTTGTGTCGTCCCAAGTTAAGCTATACTTGGTGGATCTTTTACCAAGAAGGATTCTCCTTTGCTCCTCCTAGAAATCAAAATAGATTTTTAAAAAATCATAATAATAATAATAACAATAATAATAACCTCCACTTCCTTGAAAGCTTGTGGGTTCTCATTCAAGTGTTTGATCAGCCACACGAGAGCGAGAGCTGTGGTGTGGTGGCCTCCGAACAGCATTGTCATGAGATTGTCTTCCACTTGTTGATTCGAGAGGAATCCAACCTTGTCATCTTTGTGCGTAATAAACTCGTCCAGCGCATCTTTGTGCGTTTCACCGTTGGCAGCTAGTTCGGCCCTTCTCTCATTGATGAGCCCATCCAAGAATCTGTGCAGCCTTGCCCTGGCCTGCTCAATTACAACAATAGATCCAGATTTAAAAAGATTAAAAAAAACCATGCAAAAACCTGTAACGCTTTGCGATAAGGTGAGAAGGGTAAGTCGATTGGAAACTGGAGCACCCCATTCTCTATCGTTTGGATGTCTCGCATGAGATCGATCATCTCCGGAGTGGAGGGCAGGAGTTTCTGGCACACTAATCCAATCACCGTGCAATAGCTAAACTGGCAAGAGTATAAAACCAGATCAAACGATCAAGCGACACAAAGACGTGATGAAAACCTTGACAGTTTCTTCCATAACCGACACCGTCTTTTTCGACCCCCACGACTCGAGAGTCTCCTGAGCCAAGATATCAATCATTTGGACGTGGCACTTGAGGGTCTCTGGAACCATCATCCCCAGAATGATTCTCCGGTAGAGCGCATGCTCACTCCCGATGACCTCGTTTACAGATTTTGGCCCAAGCAATCGGGCAAACAAACCTGAGGGGCCACAGTCAGCGCAGCTGAGGAAGAACTTGGCCGACTCTACCGTTGTTGCAACGATGGTGGGAGATCCAAGCAAGTTACTCCAGAAAACTCCTCCACAGTTAGTTAAAGCAAGATCGAAGTGAAAGTCACAGAAGAACCGTTTGCGTCGAGTGCTGAGGAAGTCCAGAGGGGATCCCCAAAAGAGAGAGAGAGATTCTCCGACAAGAGGCAAGCCATGGCTTCCTGGCGGGAGCTTGATCGTGGAAGATTTGTAGAACTTTCGGGAGATTAGCCACAAAGAGAGCAGAAACACAAGAAAGTACAGAGCATTCCAGGACTGCAGGAAAAGCTTCATGCTGCGAGAAGGAACGAAGCACTCACTGCACAAGTTTGAGATTAGCCTCTCAAATATATCCTGTACAAACAAGGCTTCAGTTGGCTTCTTTTGAAAGGTGGTTGTGAGAGTCTTATTTCTGTTTTTTTTGTTTATGGAAAATTTATGCGCTAACAGCCATTAATGTTCAAGGTAAGCTTCCATAAAAAATTTACTAGTCAATTGTCACATTTGGAAAAATAGTCTGTTGTGAGTTTTTAAAATCTTATTTCTCTATCTTTTTTTTAATGGAAAATTTAAAGTAGGACTCAGTCTTTGTGCTAACAGCCATTAATGTTCATGATGTACAAGTTAGGCTTCCATAAAAAATTTACTAGTCAATTGTCACAGAAATAGTCCCATTAGGTCCTGATAACATGATGTTTATCCAATTGTTCTCAATTGTCAATTTACTAGTCAATTGTTCTCGTCCTTGGAATCAAGCTCCAGACACAGGACTAGCACACCTTTTCCAGGGCGTGGTGAACACTCAAAAAGCTTTTCATTGCATCTTGACCACCACCACCACTGCAGAAGTGCAAATGAGTCTGGTTTGCCAATCAAGAGCTTTGCTGGAACACCCTGAATGCAGAGAATAGGCAGGATCAAGGGCCTGGCGGCTGGAGAAGAAGGCAAGGAACTCGATGGGAAGCTAGTCAAAGTTTTGGAGAATATAATGACACTAGAGGTGGGTGGGGTTTGCAAGTTCGAGAACTCACCTTGGGCTTGTTCTCTCTTGTAGAAGAATAGGGACTGCAAACTCTCTGATGGTTCTGGCTGCGTTGAAGGTTGGCTTTGGCTCCAGCTCTGCCGCTCGATGGCATCCACAAACCCAAATGAAGATGTCTCAAATTTCCATAGCACACAAAAATCTAGATTGTTGTGGTTGGGGGCCAAATTAGCAACTGCTGGCCCAACACTGAACACAGATCTCCATAAGAAGAAGCGCAATTGCTGCAATTGCCACTGATCTAACAAGCAAGTGTTAGCTAGATTGTGGCAGGATATCTAGGGCGAGCTAAAAAGAACAGGCATGGGGGCAGGGCACACTGGTGACATGTGTTAGATGCCTATGTTGCCTCACTCGAAGCCAATGAGCACCAGAGCTGTGGTGGTCTCCCACCAGCCAAAGTTAACATATGTGTTGTATGGTCATTATAATTCTTTGAATGCATGAACTGTGATGATTGCATGAATTTGTATTAGTTTTATTAACATTTTCAAGGTTTATATTTGTATGAGCTTCATCAGCATGTGTTATGTTTGTATTAGCATCATTAAGATCTAAAGTAATTTTTACATTAGCATGTTCAAGGTCTAGATTAGTTTCTTCAAAGGTTGTTATGAGTATGGATATATGTGCTAGTGTCAATAGTTGGAGGCAATTAGTGATATATACCTCTTAATACTTCGCAAAACCAAAACATATTTGCTAGAGAGGAAATTCTATTTGATAAATGAAATAACCTATCTAGTGCAAATTTAAACTTAGAGCAAGAAGTAGATGCGAGTGGTGCATCAATCTAAAAGAAAATCAAAGCACTTATCTTAAAATTTTCAGAGATTCTAAGTAAAAGCCAGAACTCGCATTCTTACACCAAAAAAATAAAAATCAAAGACTACATAATGAAAGCACAATCTGTATATGCCTTAAGTTGTAAACAAAAGAGAAGTTGCACCAACACTAATCTAACAACAAACAAAACCTGGACACAAGACTGGCACACCTTTTCCAGGGCATGGTGAGCACTCAAAAAGCTTTCTATTGCATTTTAACCATCACCACCATTGTAGAAGTGCAAATGAGCTCGATTTGCCAATCAAGAGCTTCATGCTTGTCTCCTAGAACACCCTGAATGTAGAGAACGGGCAAGAACATTTGCTTTCAAGGGCCTGGCGGCTGGAGAAGAAGGCAAGGAACTCGATGGGAAGCTAGTTAAAGTTTTGGAGAATACAATGACACTAGAGGTGAGCTTGTTCTCTCTTGCAAAAGAATAGGGACTGCAAACTCTCTGATGGTTCTTGCTGTGTTGAAGGCTGGGTCTGGCTCCAGCTTTGCCACTCAATGGCATCCACAAACCCAAATGAAGATGTCTCAAATTTCCACATCACACAAAAATCTAAATTGTTGTGGTTGGGGGCCAAATTAGCAGTTGCTGGCCCAATGTTGAACATGGATCTCTGCAGGAAGAAGTGCAATTGCTGCGATTGCCACTGATCCGGCAAGCCACCATTAGCTCGATTGCAGAAGGGCATCTAGGGCAAGCTAAAAAGAACAGGCACAGGGCAGGACACTACTAGTGACACATGTCAGATGTCTATCTTGCCTTGCTCGGAGCCAATGCACACTAGAGCTGTGGTGTTCTCCCACTGGCCAGGGATAACAGTAGAAAAATTTCTTGCACAATCATGGCTACCAACCCTGGCCCGGGCCTGGGATCCAACGGCTGGCGGGCCTCCACTTTATATGTATAGATGGAGAAATATTAGGTCGGAGGATGTTTATCGAATTATTTTCGTCCTTGGAATCGAGAGCTGGTTAAAAAATGGAGCTGAAGAAAATTTTGTTCAAGCTCTAGGGCTCCTCGCCCTCCCGCGATGGTGCTGCTCGGGAGCGCGCGATTGCTGAGGTGTATTTGGATTTCCAATCGCCCGGGCCGCCAGTCAGCTGCTGCAGCGCGCAGGGGCATTGGTGCCGCAATCAGACGCTCCTCTTCGATTTCCATGGCAATGCCGTCTCGAAGACGAAATCTCACAGCATTGTGTTCGGGACCCAGGAATCCGGGGCCCGGGATCACGGCAGAGCCTTCGTCCGTCAGGAATGCGAGGAAGAATGTCAAAGACGAGGAATTTGTTCCTGATAAGAAGCTGGCGGATTTGAGGAAATTGATGAGTGACTCGGGTGTCCAAGCTTACATCGTGCCTTCGGAGGACGCTCACCAGGTACTTGCGTCTTCCTTGAGAAAGAGAATCAAGGAGTCTAGAATTTTTTTTTCTTATTTCCTCTTTTCTTTTCTGTAAGTAGCTCACTGCTGCGTATGCAGAGTGAATTTATAGCCGAGTGCTTCACGCGACGGGCTTACATTTCAGGATTCACGGGAAGCGCAGAAACTTCTGTGATCACCTTGGAGAAGGCTGCGCTTTGGACGGATGGTCGATACTATCTTCAGGTAATTGATTCAACTTCATTCTTTCTCCTCTTTCTCCTCTTGTCGTGTTCTTTTCGTGAGCATTTTTCTGACCAAAGTTATGTTTGTTTTTTTCTTTTGCCGGTCATTGCATGATTGGTGGCATCTTTGCGCCTCGACTTACATGTTGATGTAGGAAAACTCAAGGTGATGAGATGGTAACTTGGATTGGAAAATACTTTCTGAATGGATGCTTCTTAACTTTTAGGTCAGATACCAGTTTGGGAAAACTCTCAGTGATTAACAATTGTCCTGACTCAACCAGGATGATCTATCCATTGTTGATCACTGGTGTATTGATGGAAGGCAAGGTAAGGCTTGAGTTTCTAAAGAGAAAAGCCAGTGGCTAAGCATTTGAGGGCAGTCTGAGAATGCGGACTTGATCCGGCCCATATTCAACGATGCCTATGGTAAAGAGCAGGCCAACGTTTGGATGGGGCGATGGAAGTTCGCGGAGATGTATAAGTTTGGCAACGGGCAGCAGTGGCTCCTTTCACAGCTCAAGATCATTCTTTCCAGGTACCTAGGTGAGCTAAGAAAGACTTTGCTTGATTCGATACCACCACCGTGCTCACACTCTCTTTTGCCAGTCTGAGGTACTATGCATGATTGCGTGATTGATTGAATTGCTGAACTGCTTCCTTTTTATGAAGGTCTTCTTCCAGAGGAGCGACTGGTTATGTCGGCAGCGCAGCCGCTGCCTATTCAGCAGATTGCCCAGGTTTTTCTTGTAGTACCTTTCGACTCTCATATTCCATGGAGGAGAGTCTGACCTTGGGCAACAGAGACCGAGACTGGGCAAGAGAAAGGAACCTTTCCAGGTATGAGGTTACCTTGGCCCTCTACAGCCGATTTCTCAGCTTCCACGGGGCGCTTTAGTTTACAAATCGTTCAGCAGCTTTACATGTCGCCATGGTTATGGATGGTGTTTGAGGAGCTCTCAAGCAGATGTTCCGGAACTCGTTCACTATAGAGGTGGATGTTTATCGAGAATTGAGGGCATGCCCCAGCTTGCCTAAGATGGTCGGTAATGGCTTTTTCCTTGGGAGAGAGTGCCAGAAACAGGTCGAAAGCTGCCTAGCACACCTGCTGGCCTGTCCCCAGAGGCTTGATAAGCCCCTCTTCATGTCCGACAACGCAAACAGAAAGATCATCGCCACTGCTATACCGACAAGAGTTGGAAATATCACTGGCATCGCCGCAAGGGCCGTTGCATGGAAGTTGACACCATACAGCTGAAGAAGTGGTCGTGGTGTAGCGGTGATATCCTCGAATTCCAAGATTGCTGCTTGCAAACTTGGATCTCTGGCCTCATGTACAAACAGCAGGGGCTGCTGGTGTGAAGCGGGCTCTCCATACTGCGCAGGTGCAAGGCAAACTTTTGATCCTGTTGCTGTTGGCGTGAGTTGAGCTTTTGATCCTGTTGCTGCTGGCGTGAGGAGAGCTTTTACTGCTGTTGAGCAAGTTCTCCACATCGTTGCTGCAACTCCACAAACACTAAAACAAGCAAGGACAGGAAAACCATTGTTGCATAGGGATTTAAACTTCCTCATGCCTTAATGTTAATTATTACCATAGCCATCCGAAAATTTGTCTTAGCATTGACATATTCATAGTGTTTCTATCATGTTACTCATTTACTGTTTGATTTCCACCCAAGCCCTCTCTTATATTTTCTCTCCCACAATTGATATATAAATGACAAAACTTTGGGGTTATTGTTAATCTTTATTAATTAATCACATTTAATATAGAATAAAGGGAAATCTGATTTTAACTTGACACATGCACACTTTTTAACCCTTTGACATCATGCTAGCACCTCTTACTTCAAAACATCTTAAATAAACTACTACACTTGTGTCTTTGGATTTTCACCTCCCTTTTATTTTGTTAGTTTTATGGTAGGAATAACTTAATTCTCTCTTCCACACTTCCTCTTATATTTAACACCCCACTCTCTATGCTCACTCTTTGTTCTAGATAATGAACCAAAAAATATAGAGCAAAACTTTATAAACACCAAAACAAATGAGTATGGAGAAAATATTGATGCTTAGGGATTTGAGCTTTTACATACTCTAGTGTTAATTGTCATCACTGCTATTTGAAAATTTTTCCTCCTTGACACTGGGTTAAAGGGATTATTATTAATTTTATTAATTATTCACACTTAATCTAAAACAAAAAGAAACTCATGATCTTGGGCGTCAGAAAGCAAGATCTCCATGACACTGCTGCTGCTGAGTGAGCTCTCCATGTTGTTGTTGCTGCTGCTGCTGGCATCGTAAAGCAAGCTCTCCAAGACGTTGCTGCTGCTGAGCGAACTCTCCATGACGCTGCTGCTGTGGAGCAAGCTCTCCATGTTGTTGCTGCTGGCTAGCATCATTGCGATACCAAACCCACAGCGAGTTTGATAGTGTCGTTTCTCCCTCCTGCACCGCTTCTTTTCGAGCGTTTTCAGTCTTGGACTTCCCACCATCCTGACCAGGCAACATGTAAATCATTTTCTCTTGGAGAGATGATTTGCAACAAGGTGTTAACCCATTGCTCGTGTTCACATTAAAGCTCCGGGGGAGCCATCGCCACACCAATGGTGTTGGAGCTGCTGGCGGTGCCGGCGTCCATAACAAACCACCTTGTCTTGCTTCTGCCTCATTCAGAGCTGCTTGAAACTCCTTGCTAGACTTGTAAGGTGCTCTCGTTGGATCTGGAACCCACATGCAAGTGGAATTATTAAAGACTTCACTGCTGTTAGTGCTTTTGGCCTCGTTGTTACTTGGAAGCCCCTGGAACCTTTGCTCAAGCTGTGGAAGGCTACCTGGAACTCATCCTCGCCATCCTCGCTATTCTTGTGGGAAAGCCTCGTGACTAAGGAGGAGGTGCATTTCCACAGCTCCTGCTCCACCCGTACTGGACTCTGCACATACGAGCACGTAAATTCTCATACTTCACTGCTAAGAAACAAAGAACAAACTCACCTCCTCATCGTAACGTTGCTCCTTGATCTCTATCTCTTCCTTAGCCACCTGGAGGTTTGCTGCCGCCGTTGGCACCTTAAGGCCATGCCACCGCTGCTGGCCTTGTTGCGGCCGGTCTTCCAAAGCCCGTGCTCCACCAAGGGTGTGGCCACTAGATCAGAGCTATGGACAACGCTTGCTGGACGAGCGTGAAGGATGATCTTCAAGCCTGCCGGTGTGAGAACCGGTGGAGCAACGTGCTCCGACTCGCTCTTCATGCTCTTCGCTGAGCTACTCTGCAAACACACAAAAAGGAAAAAGTTCTTAGAGGAAACAGAGAAAAATGAAACTGCAGATACCTAGGACGATTTTTAAGCCTCTCGCGCTTTGACTAAACCTCATTATTTGAGATGTTAAGAAATTTAACTGTAAAACCGCATAATTCTGGATTGACCACATAAAATAATCTCTCGAACCAAAACATTTCATTTTGTGTATATACAATGGCAGTCTACGATGTTGTCTTGCTTCCTTTTGTGCCTCTTGAGTGCTCATGCAGCCATAAGTTTGCTTGTACAATATGGTTCTACCACGGTTGGGAATGGCAGTTTCATCCCTTTGAGCAGCACCAATTCACCCCCCACGGTTGACATTGAAGGATTTTGTGGAAATGGTAATCCTTGTCTCTTCTTGGTGGTAATGGCAGATCAAAAAGCACTAGCGACTGCGTTCTTGAATTACCCCTACGTCAACCTTTGGATTGCAAACATTCCAGCAGGCAGCTCTGGTTAGAACCACACTTGCAATTTCATGCTCGTGCTGCAGAGGAATCCCTTGGTGAAGCCCATGGACAACTGCATCCAGCAGTACCATTGTGGAAGCCCTCTCCAGACCGTTTCCTTCACCACCTCCTCCACTAATCTTAGGTCGAGAATGAAAAGATAATTACTTTTTCTTTTGAAGGCTTTGAAAATCAAATCACTCCATAGCTTGTGTCATTCATGATATCTATTCTGACCAGCACTTAAAAAAAGGCTCGGCTGCCATAGAAAACCCGGTGGTTCTTGCCATGATCACCACTGTCCTGGTGGGACTTGCTCTTCTTGGCGTTTGGAGTGGAGGTATCCTTGCGATCCAGATCGAGCGGGAGCTGCATCTTGGCCAGCGCCTCCGTGAACTGCTGCATGCTCTTCATGTACATGTCCACGAACTGCTGCTGCATGTCCGGAGAGTCGCTGCTGATCGATGACGACGACGCCTCCTGGCTGGTTCCACGGCACGGCGGCTGCGCTTTGCAGCTCTCCCCCGATCCATGATGATCGCTTGGAGGCCCAGAGCTCACACCGCTGCTGTCGCTCGACTGATCATGATCGTCGGAGCAAGTGGTGCCCACTTCGCTGCTCGAAGGCGAGGTGTTCTTCTCAGCTGCTCGGTGGTATTGGTGATGGTGACTGCTCGTTAAGTTCCCGGAATCATGATCCTTGCTCGAGCTTTTCGCCTCGAACAGGAGCGAGGGCCCCGTGACGATCCCACTGCTCTTGTGCGACGAGGAAGATATCTCCAGGTAGCTCGACACCAGCTGCTGATCCTCGGACGCGGCTTGCAAGTCCGGGAACTCGATCCTCTCAAACTCGCCGCCATCACCCTGCCAAGGTGGCGACTCCGACCCGGACGAAGAACTCGCGTGGCCATCCTCGAACACCTTGATGAACCCGTGCTTTTTTTTCTTCACCCCGACCACCGGACCTGGCGAGCATTGATCGGCAGGCGAGGCGTGATCATCCGATGCGAGAGCTCCCTCCCGAAACGCTAAAGTGAGGCGGACGATCCCGGCCGGGGAGTGGAAGAGCTCGGTGGAGGAGAGACCGTATGCTTCCGGCTGGTCTTGGCCTTTGGAAGCCAAGCTGGAGAGAGGAACGAGCGCGAAGCCCAGGAGCTGGTCCTCGAGGTAGCTGTGAGCTCGGCTGCTCATCCACATCTCGCATTTGAGCACCGAGTTTGGGCGCGTCACGGGCAGCTGGAAGCTCTCGTTGAAGACGGGGTTCTTGCCGGCCTTGGCGATCACTTGCGTGCAAACGGGCTCGGCCTTGCCGTGCGTGAAGGAGAACTTCGCGAAAACGTCCTGCTTGTCGTAGATACAAATGTTGTGGATCCCCTGCGCGTCGTGGACGCGCACCTCCAGGATCCCGCCCTGGAAGGAGCTCTGCTGCTCGTCGTGATCATCGCCCAGGGCGCTGCTGCTGTAGCTGGGAAGAGCCGCGATCATCGTAGCCCTGGAGTTTCCAGAAAGAATCACAAAGAGAAGCACAATGATCGCCAGCAAGATTTACCTTTGCTCGAAGTTCCTGGAAGCGCGATCGAGCACCGCATTGGTACCCGCATAGAACAATCCGAGAATTTATATGATGGTGGAAATGGAATGTCGAGTGTATCCAGTGTGATTTTCATCCAATGGGCCATACACTCTTTGCTTCGATCTCACGCCAGGCGCCGCCCCACCAGGGAGAAAACGTAGAAACAAAGCGATCACTGTTGACCAAGAGTGTACTAATTGACTAGAGTTGACTTTCGTGATCTTACATGTTCTTCCAAGAAACCGAGCTATTCCTCTGAATCTAGTTGTCCCCTGGTAAAGGAGCCAGCTCGTTGCGAGCGAATCTCTCCTCGTCGAAGTAGCTGCCTCTCACTACTCTCCCACCAAAGAAGCGGCCATCCAAATCCGCGAGAGCTTTACTAGCCTGGTCCGCCCGCTCAAACTGGACGAAGATCCGGACTGCCTCGGTTGGAGCGTAGTCATGCTCGGTGATCTCGAAGATCAGCACGCTTGTCACCACGCCAAACTTGCTACACTCGGACGCAACCTCTTCCTCGAGCTCGGCATCCACTTCTCCGGGACCAACCTGGAAAAAAAAGGAGAGAAAAACCACCTTGAATACATGAAACTTGGAAAGTTCTAGACATACCATGTTGCGGAGTAGAACAACACGAGTAGCCACTGGCCTTTGTTGCTGCTGCTGATTTTGTTGTTTCTTGAGCTCACCCGCATTGACGATCACTCCAGCGCGTTTATCAGTCTTTCGAGCCATCAGAGGAGTGGTGATTCCCTGCTCTTGTTTGCCCAAGCCTTGGCCTTCTCTCCATCCCATTCTCGCCATCATCCTCTGAGCAGCGCTCATTCCTCCGCTGTTATTCCCGTTGCCACCACCCTGGCTTTGTTGCTGCTTGCCACCATGGTGGCCCTCCACTTGAGACGAAGATGGTGGTGGTATGTCCGATGGCCCGGCAGCCGAGAAGGAGGAAGAGCTCCCCCGACCACCTCCGGCACTTAGCATGGCTCTTCTCTTCCAAGCCTCTTCACCGCTTATATGCACGTCTTCCTTGTGCTGCCTCTCAAGCTCCTTCTGCCTTGCCACCTCTCGCTCCCTCTCTTTTTCTTCCTCTTCCTCCCTCCGCCGCTCCATATCTCGCTTCAGCTCCTTCTCCATCTTCTTCCGCTTGCGATCGCGGCAGTACTCCTCGTAATCGTTGGGCCGAGCCGGATCATACTCGTCGATGATACAAACGGGCACCGCCACTGGTGGCGTTGGAGTAACCGCGACCGCCGCCGCTACTACTGCTGGCGTCGCCGCCACCGCCACTGGTTTCACAGCAGCCACAACCGGCGGTTGCCTGGGAGGAGGCGGCGCCTTGGCGGAGGACTGGTTGCGCAAGACGGAGGGAGGAGCAGCGAAAATACCTGCCTTTCGAAGCGCCGCTGGCGGGGTCATGAGCTTGCCATTGTGCTTCTTGGCTGAATCTTCGCTCGCTGCTGCTGCTGCTGCTGCTGCTCGAGCGTCGGCATCGGCCTGCGCGGCTGCCGCCGCTGCAGCAGCCGCGGCCGCAGCCGCGGCGGCAAATGCTGTCGCTGAGGATCCCGAGGACGCCGAAGCCGATGAGGATTGGGACGGGGGAGGAAGATCGCCATAGAGCCCTCCCAGCATCCTTGAAGAGCCCTAATTTCCCCTAAAAGAACAGAATATCCTCCAATTTAAATACTACGAGTTAATGACACTTAAAATGCTAACCATTTAAACAAAGAAAAGAATCTGGGCCGTCCTTTTTTCGCACCATTTTTACTAGAAAAAGGGCATAATTCAATGTTGTGTTCCTCTTAAGGGGAAAATGTAGCTCTTCTTTCTTGGTTTGCAGCTTATTACAATGCATAGTGTGCTCCTAAAGCAATCTGGAGGCATCTTTACTAATAGCTTTGGCCTTCAAATGTATAGAAATGTTAGTGGCATTTGCCAAAGCAACAGATTGGAAGGCTTGCTTTTTCATGCAACGACAGCTCATCCAAACTCTTGGAGGCCACTTCTCCACCTAAAGACCACCAGAGCCTTGGAGGATGAGAAGCAAAGAGGTTCTTACCTCTATTGCAATAGTTACCCGCCCTTGGCATCTTGTGCTTGGTATATGACTTTGGCTTTCGATGGAGTAGCACGACTTGGGACTATTCATTTAGACTTTGGTGGGCTACTTCTCTACTTGGAGTCTGCTTGAGGGTTTTTAGTTCACATTGTCTAGATGGGGTATTTATTTTTAGTTAAAGAAAAGAAAAAGGCTTTCAAAAATTTATACACTAGTTTATATTTGTAGCAAGTTTTAACAATGGCCTTTTTGGTTCTTTATTAATAACATTTGTTATAAGAGTTGAGAGCATGATATATGCTGCTATATAAGTATACTTCATTGTTGATGTCTGAGACTTACTCATAGGATTTTGGCTTGTTTATAGCCAAATATGGGAGTTTATGAGACTTAAATGTTAAAGAGAGCTTAGTATGAGTTAGTCATTTAAGTGGAGTATATTATTATCACTTTCACATTGTTAATGTATGGCTACAGTAGAGGCCTTTTAAGATTTGGCTTGTGAAGACTCATTGATTCTTCATTACATTGTGGGTAGACCAAAATGCTCGAGAGCAGGTTACCATCTATATCTTATTGACCACAACGTCAAGGCGGAGAACATCATTCATGTGCAGAACCAGGACCAGTTCGTGCTCAAACATGCGTATACTGAATACGATCATGATTTTGGCGAAGTTCCAGATGCAGTCAGCCTTGTCCTCACCCTACATGGCTGGGTGGAATGGTGCAGGTCGTAACCGTGCGGCTCCTATCGAGTGAGCCCTGTGCTGGCTAGCTTTGCCAACTATGCTTCACGCTACCTCCCTCCACGCCTTAACCCGATTATCACCATCGGCTGCGGCACGCCGGTGCTGCTGGTTTGCCACCTCCAGAGCTAAGTATACATCATGGATCATGCTATAGTGCTGCCTCCCAGTAGTTTCCACTTTCAAAAGCTATAGTAGGTTACAATCTCACTTGAGTTTCAAAGTTTGGTACGGCGTTGAACATTATCTTCCAGTGGCACTAATTTGACACGTGGATGGCTTTCTTGGCATCGATCCACGTGGCATTGTCAATGAGGAATCCATTTTCTGCCGCGCGCCTCTCCCAGATCGGTGTCCGAGGCCAAGATCCCACCTGGAGCCGCTACCGCAAGCACGCGCCCAATCCAATCCGGGCAGTCGAGTGGCATCATCACCGTCAGCAAGCGCAGACGTGGAGGATTTCTACGGCAATGGGGAGCTTGCTCATGGAGATCTAGATTTGAGCTCGATACATGCCCTGTTCGCGATCGAGTCATGGCGTTTCTGGCGAGCAGGGGGATTGAGCTGCTGCCCCTAGGAGGAGCCTCCGCCACCACCTGCAAACAAGAGAAAGTAATGGTGATGCCTGCGCGATGCAATGCCGGAGTTTCTGGCGATGTTTTGCGAGGAGATCGTCTACTGCAAACATCACTACACTAGGACGAGAGTTTGCTCGCGTGGAAGAGCATCGTTATTCTTGTGATGCACGCAAACAAAAAAAACCTTTTTTTAAACTTGCTCGTACGCTTCGTCCAGCCAGCAAGATCATCTTCAATCCAAACTCTCCAACTTAGTAAGCCACCCTGGAAGTTTTCGATCCAGCTAGTCCTCCCGATACTCGTGTGAACGGTGGAAGAACATGGATGAACAGAAGCAGCGAGACAAGCGAGAGGAGGAAAAAGAAATACAGAAAATATAACCTAGCGTTCCACACTACTATACCGTCCCGTACTGGTTCCTCACAAGTCTCACTCAACTCTAGTCCTCCAGAGTTGTGCCGAATAGAGAAGTTTGAGAGAGAGAGATCACACTCATGAAGTGGTCATCCAAGTGTCATATGTTGCATCTGTCCTTCCCATCGCACGTTACTCTTTGATGGCCCTGTTTCGTAGGTCCCATTCATTCTCTCCAACTATCCTTTCTGGACACAGGATTGGACGACCCTCCTTAGTCTCCATTTTTGGTGGAGGAATTCCTTGAGGAGCTAGTCCGTGGTGCATCTTCAGATCGGCAACGTTGATCCTTTCTCTTCTTTTTTTGTCATGCCTTCCACTCAGGCAAAGAAGCAAATGGTCCAAAGTAGCACATGTGGAGTTTCAACTTGGATGTTGCTTGCTTCCCCAAGGTGTAATGTTCTGGATTAAACTTCACGTAGATGTGGTCTTCTATTTGGAATTCCCTGTCCGAGCGCCTCTAGTCTGCATCCTACTTCATCACGGCCCAAGCAGACTCCAGCCTCTGATTTGCTAGTTCCTGGACCTGTTTAATAGACCAAATGTGCCATGTTGTGGTTTATGTTCGGTGTGGTGAGCTGAAATGCTGTGCTGAAACTGAGAGCCATCCCCAAGATGTCAAGGAGTCTTTTCCAAAACATACTGACGAACTTTGCATCTCAGTCCGAAATGATTTCTGCTAGAACTCCATGAAATCTAACATCATCCTTCCAAAAAAGTTCCACCACCTGCTTAGCTGTTGCTTTGGCTGTCTGCGGAATGAAGCGGGCGACCTTCGTGAGCCTGTCAACAACTGCGAAGATAGTATCAAAGGTCCGAGATCTCGGGAGTCCCACAATGAAATCAGAGATGAATGGGGTTGCAGCAATAGGGAATGGTTTGAGGAGGCCGGAGGTCGCCACCTTCTCCGCCTTGGAAACCTGGCACACCTCACATTCTCTGATCCATTAGTGTACTTCGCACTGCATCCCTTTCCATAACTTTATAGCTGCCAAGGTCAAAGCAACACTAGGATGGCCAGTGATGATGCACTCCTGGAAAACCTTCTTCTTGAAGTCATGCTTGGTGCTAATAATACCCATCCCTTCTTGAAATGGACTCCTGCTCTCTAGGTGTGATCCTTCTGGAACTAGATTGCCAAGGAAGGGATCCATACCCCTGCACCTCCACTTTAAAGTCGATTTCACTGGACAAACTGCTGCAAAGGCTGGATGAATCCGGCTTCTTAAACATCCGTGATAATGCGTACATTCGTCTTTCCCGGAATTTGATTGTAAAATCCATTGCTTGAAGCTGTTCGATCCAACATGTTAATAC